TATAAGAGTAAGGGTATATGAGCCTATAGGTGTTTCCTAGATGGGTGGGTGTTGGTGTATGCGGTATAGGTGTATAGGTGTACAGGTGTGTATGAGAGTAAGGGTATATGAAGATAGGTGTGTTTCATTGGTGGGTGTAGTTCTGTATGAGGATATAGGTGTGTTTCATACGTGTGTGTGTATGGGGGAACAGGTATGTATGAGAATAAGGGTGTATGAGGGTATAGGTGTGTATGAGAGTAAGGGTGTGTGGGTGGGTGTATGAGGGTATAGATAGGTGTGTGGGTGTATGAGAGTAAGGGTGTATGAGAATATAGCTGTGTGGGTGCATGAGTGTATAGGTGTGTATGAGAATAAGGGTGAATGAAGATATATAGGTGTGTTTCATAGGTGTGTGGGTGTATAAGGGAATAAGTGTGTTTGTGTATGAGAGTTAGGGTATATGAGCCTATAGGTGTTTCCTAGATGGGTAGGTGTGGGTGTTTCATAGGTCTATGTGTGGGTGTATGAGGGTATAAGTGTGTATGAGGATATAGATGTGTTTCATATGTGTGTGGGTGTATGAGTATAGGTATGTATGAGAGTGGGGTATATGAGGATATAGGTTTGTTTCCCAGGTGGATGGGTGTATGAGAGTAAGGGTATATGAAGATAGGTGGGTGTGTCTGGGTGTATGAGAGTATAGGGGTGTGGGAGGGGTATAGGTGTGTTTGAGGGTAAGGTTGTATGAGGGTACAGGTGTGTATGAGAGTAAGGGTGTATGAGGATATTTGTGAGTTTCATAGGTGTGTGTGTATCGGTGTTTGAGGGTGTGTGGGAGTAAGGGTATATGAGCCTATAGGTGTTTCCTAGATGGGTGGGGTGTATGAGGATATAGGTGTGTATGAGAGTAAGGATGTATTAGTATATAGGTGTGTTTCCTAGATGTGTTTTTGGGTGTATGAGAGTATGGGTGTGGATGTTTGAGGGTATAGGGGTGTATGACGATATACGTGAGTTTCATAGTTGTGTGGGGGTGGGTGTATGAGGGTATAGGATTGTTTCCTAGGTAGGTGGGTGCATGATGGTATAAGTGTGTATGAGAGTAAGGGTATATGAGGATATAGGGGGTTCCATAGGTTTGTGTGTTTGGGAGTATGATGGTGTAGGTGTGTGCTTGGGGATGTGGAAGGGTATAGGAGTGTATAGGTGTGTTTCACAGGTGTGTATGAGAGTATGGGTGTATGATAGTAGGGTGTATGAGAGTAATATGAAGATGGTGTGTCATAGGTGTATGAGGGTATAGGTGTATTTCATATGTGTGGGTATATTGGGGAAGAGGTGTGTATGAGAGTAAGGGTGTATGTATGAGCATATAGGGGTGTGTGTAGGTGTATGAGAGTAAGGGTATATGAGCCTATAGGTGTTTCCTAGATGGGTGGGTGTGGGTGTATGAGGATATTTGTGAGTTTCATAGGTGTTTGAGGGTGTGTGGGTGTATGAGAGTAAGGGTGTGTTTCCCAGGTGGGTGGGTGTGGATGTTTGAGGGTATAGGGGTGTATGAGCATATAGGTGTGTTTCATAGGTGTGTGGGGGTGGGTGTTTGAGGGTATAGGATTGTTTCCTAGGTGGGTGGGTGCATGATGGTATAGGGGGTTTCATAGGTTTGTTTGTATGGGGATATGAGGATATAGGTGTGTTTGATAGGTTTGTGTCTGGGTGTATGAAGATATAGGTGTATGGGTATATGAGGATATAGGTTTGTTTCCCAAATGGATGGGTGTATTAGGGTATAGGTGTGTATGAGAGTAAGAGTGTATGAAGATATATAGTTGTGTTTTCTAGATGGGTGGGTGTATGAGGGTATAGGGGTGTTTCATAGGTGTGTGGGTACATGAGGGTATAGGTGTGTATGAGTGTAAGGATGTATGCGTATATAGGTGTGTTTCCTAGATGGGTG